GCTCTCGACAGTAAGGCAGGTTCAAAGGTCACAGGATAAAGAAAAAGCCAAGCTCTGGTTCAGCTCTAATATCTCCTCGCTAGAAGTCTTGCAAAGGTACCTACCCCCCTTCTGTACTAGGCGGCTTTCATTAATCTTCTTGCCATCTTTTTTAACTAGTCATGCAGAACCGCTCGATAGCGAGACATATAATGGGGAGGCCCTGTGCCTATTACCAGGTTAACACTCTGTTAAGCCCCAGTGCAACAATGGAATAAGAATTTAAAGGAAATCTTAAGCTGCAGGGTGCAAAGCAGGCAATTAAATTACAACCCGAAGTTACCAGTGTACTCCGTGACCTACAGAACACCTTTGTTTAGACTACCTTAACATTAAGGATATTTTGACCTAGCAACTGAGATGTATCTGCTTTGTTAAAACAAACAAACAAAAAAGCAGAAGAAGAATCACAGAGAAGGTTTCTTCTGTGTTTTAAGTAAATTATCAAAGAAATCCCATTTCTGCAGCTCTGGGAAACACACATGAAGGAAGAGCCCCCCGCGTTTTGAAAGCTGCGGGTCTGCCCAAGCCATCAGCCTCGGCGGCGCTGAGAAGCCCACCCCGAGATCTGCTCCCCCCAGTCCCGCTCCCCCCAGTCCCGCTCCCCACAAGGTCTGTTCCCCCCAGTCCCGCTCCCCCCCGCAGCAGGGACGGCCACGGCGCGCCTGGCGCAGCCACACTTGGTACAGAGGCAGCGGCCAGTGACACTGAAGTTTCTCCCCTGTCCAAGTAATGTAAGAGACATTACCAGAATCAGATTTCCTTTAAATTACACTATTGCAAAGGGACATAATTCCTCCCTGCTGGCATATTGCTGATTTGTGCATAAGTGATGCATGCAATCCACCTGAGCTAGGAGTCAGGGGTTTCTTCATCGGGCATGATGGGGGCTGTGATCTCGCTTAGTTTTTATATTAATCGTTTGCTCTGTGGCCCCGTGCCCTGCCCCTGCGGGGTCTGCCCCCCCTCAGCGATGAGCGCGGTCAGGGCTCGTGTCCGCGCCCTTGGCTTCAGGCCCGATGGTGGCTCTGGGGGGCCCTGGGCGAGGCAGATCCCAGCGCCGTGGCCGGGGCCGATGGCCCTGCCTGCACCGTGCTGCCACATCCCCTTCCCGGGGAAGGACCGACAGCGCCCGGGCAGAGAACCGGCCCGAGAGAGGAGCCATGAGGCGGGGGGCTGCTCCGCCGGCGGCCAAGGCTCGGGTTCTGGAACGTTCAGAGCCCCCCAGCCTTTGCCACCGGCTGAGCCGTGCTGGGGGCAGCAGCCTGCGGAGCAGCCGGCCAGGCCAGGTCAGCGTGGGGGGAGCTGGGGAGGAAACACGGAGCGAAACATCTAAACCGGGCGAGGGGAGTCTCGATCCACACCCAGAACCGCCCGGTGGAGACCCAGAACAAAGAATCCTGTCGGAATCCTCCAGAACGTGTCCTGTGCCATTTAAATTTTCATTTTCTGTAATTGGTTCCTGTAACCGTGTGTAATATCAAATGTCCAAGGAAACTGTGGGAGCTGATGGGGCGCGGTGCTGCGTCACGTCCCCAGGAACGGTGCGCGGGCGCTTTCGGAATCGTAAAGATGCGGAATTTATCCCAAGCAGACCCGGGCACGCATGTATTAACATACTGATGAGCTCATGGCTAGGAATTCCCGCATTTTTAGTACCACCAAGGCATCATTTGAGAAATGATTTAAAGGGGGTTTTATTATTATTGTTATTATTATTAGCCAATTTTTCAATATAGAATTTATATTGCAGATTAGTGCATCATAATGGTGTTTAATTAACATGCCACAATAAAACACTCACGTCTCAAGTTTTCTGGCCACAGGTCTGGGCATATATCAGTCACCTTTTGGAAATCTGGAGAATTAGATAATGTAAATAAGATTTCAAATTAGCTTCCCTCCAGGAAAGACCTGAATTTACATCAAGGTGGCTGTAACTTTACAGACTACTAGCTTTGACCTTTGAACCGAATAAATGATGAGAAAACTGACGGAACAGTCTAATGCAGAGAATGTGCTTCGTTTTAATTTCAAAGGCACGAAGAGCCCTGCAAGGGAAGGGTGTTTGCCCTTCCTGCCTGTCCTACACCAGCCCTTTCCCTGGGGGCCGTCGCCGGCGGTGCTCGGAGGGTCGGCAGCTCGCGGCGGCACCGGGCGCCCAAGAGCTGCGCGGCGGAAATTCCAGCGGGACTTTGGTCTGGGTTGGCCTCCTTGCAGGAGGGGGGTTCCCGGGTCGGGGTCTCGCCGCGCCGTTGCCGCATCCTCTGGTATTTTGGAGCGGTGACGTTTCCCCTTTGCCGTGAGCCGCTGGGGAGGTTCGGGTGATGTTTTGGGGAGAGGTTGTTGGAGCGATGATTCTGGGGTTAATTGGCCTTTTATTTTAAATATAGCACTTATCTTCTGCGTGTGATGATTATACAGCGAACAGTTACATAAAGTAGTCCTAATGTGGTAGTTTAACTGAAATATAGTCTTGGGCTGAACGGGAGCTAACTAGCCATTTGATAGATTTTTGCATTTCCTGCAGTGGGGATGTGATGGGAAAAGGAACTTTATTGAATAGGGTTCAGCTGCTCCTGTAAGCCACCACTTGCCTTAAATTGAAATGACATGAGAAGCCTGTCAGCGTTTCATTGCTTCCTTCTGTTGTGCTGATGGTATGCTAAGATCACCATCTGTGTTTTTCTTCTGTCAGGCACACAAGCTCTGCTGAAACTTTGCAGGAATATTCTGAACAGTTTTTTTTTTTTCTTATCTTTACAGGTCATGCAATATTTAAACTTACATATCTAAGCAATCATGACTACAAACACCTTTACTTTGAATCAGATGCTGCTACTGTCAATGAAATTGTACTGAAGGTGAGTATTAGATTTTGACATGACCCAAAATCCTGGGTGTTTTACCACTTGTTAGACATGAAAGCATTCAAGAGGCTCTGGCAGTACGTGAACGGTGCAGTGCCTGAGGACCACTGAGGTGGATTTAACTCAGCAGGCGGGTTGCTTGGTGCCTGTTACTTCAGTCGTTCTTCAAACAGCCGTACAGCAGACTGCCTCTCCGTGTGTAAGACTTCCTTTTGTACGTGTTTCTAGTTAATAGAGACACGTTTGCGGTGGAATTTGAGAGGAAACCACCAGGTTTTACTGTGCCTGGATAGTTCCCAGCTCCAGACAGGCGGATGGTCTCCGAGCCCCGTGGCGGGGCTGGGTGCCGTGTCCCAGCCCCGGGTGCTGCCCGCGCCGCGGGGGCTCTGGGAG